ATAGTATGGACGTGGATAGGTCTAACATGAAACACCCACACCCACACCACATGGAAGAATTCAATCCTTGACCAAATGAGTGTGGGTGTGAGTCTGTATCTTCTATTCGTTCACACCCACACCCACACCCTAGAGATTTAATTCATTTATAGTGTTATTAACTTATAAAATATTACAAAGGGAATCAATATGTTTGAGTGAAGATCGATTCAGCATTGTCAATACCATGCTCGTCAAGCTTGATATACTTTATGTCATCAAGTTTTTTCTTGATACTAGTAGTTTGGAATATTGTGAATAGAACAATGAGAATTTCGTTCTCGTTCGGATACGTCAATATGGTGTGTACATAAATGGCTAGGCACGGATTTTGAATGTGATAAGTACATATGACTTGATGCTTCGAATTTAGACTGAGAGGAGAATCAATTATGAAGGTCGGCGTAACATCCCTGTAAGTTGACGAAGACAAGAAAGTTCACGTTAAAATAAATTTATCTTTCTCATATTTATCTAGATCTGTTTTTCCATATTCTTGCCACGATAGCTGTGCCGATATAATGACAATACTGTTATAGTTTCGAGTGATGTCTTAAAATGGCGGGTGTGGGTTAATCATCTTTATTTACATCCACACTCGCACCCAAAATGACAAACGATACGTGCAAAAAAATGTCTCTTTTATTCTGATGAAATGTCCGCGATGAATTGTCCAGTCGCTTCAGTTAATGCGTTGAAATGATGTTTCGAAGTGACATTTTATAGTGGAAAGTGTATTACAAAAAAGAAAGAACGATGTATTTGAATGCAAAAATAGGATTTATTTTGAAGAATATGTCTTTAGAAGAAGATGTTTTTTTGGAGATTTGTTTTTGTAACATAGTGAATATAGTATTTAAAGTGGTGTGTAACGGTCACATTCTTTTTGGAAATGGTTTGGTCCATTAATGGATTTTAGACAGGAAAAACAATATTGCTTGAAACATTCACTACAGACAATCCAATTATCGTCACCTATTTTAACATTGAATTTATTACATGAATTATTCGGACATTGTTTCACTCGTTTGACGATAGCAGAACCAACAAATGATCGATTATTAATTAAAATCTTCGTATCTTGCTTATTTTCATCCTCTGTCAATTGATCGGAATCAGTCTTTTCGATATTTTGTTCAGATACTTTAGCTAAAAGAAAATCCAGATTCTATTTAATATTGAAATAATCTCTTTTACAAACCTGTATCTGATTTTTTATTTAATTCTTCTTTGATAGATTGTACTGACATAGCATTAGAAGAATGATATAACAATGAAGTTATTTCAGGAGGTCGTGGTCCTTCTGGTGACGACCAAGTAAAATGATAATCGCATCTTGAACAATGCATATGTGAACAACCACCATTTTTTTCAATTCTTGCATGACAATTTGGACAGGGTTGAGTATTAAGTACTTCCATTCGTTCAGCATTTAAAATCTTTTCTAATAAAATATCTTCGTCAGATAAGTCAATGGCAATTTCACGATAATGTTGCTTAACAAGATTTCTTTCAGCTAAAGTTGCTTTTTGTTTTTCAATTCTAGCTAATTCTGCAAGAGCTTTTTCTCGTTCTTTGGCAAGTCTCTTTTCATCTTTTTCTTGTACTTTTCGATTTCTTTCACTTTCTTCTTCGCGTTGCTTTGCAATTCTTTCACGTGCTTTTTGTTGTTGTAATTTTAACTGTTCAATTAAATAATCTTTTGGACACATTACTTGAAAATGATAAATTTCTTTACATTTTTTACAAAATGTATAACGACATTGATCACATATCGCTAAGTTATCATCACCACTTCCGATAAGAACAGCAGATTGACATCTAAATTAATTAGTCTTTCCTTAGTGTAACATCTTCGAAGCAAAATATCTTATTTTGATCAAAATACAACTTACAGAGATATGGCAGATCTTTAGCATTAGGTTTTAGATAATGTTACATCAAGATTTGTAAGAAGATCTCGAAAAAAAAATTCTTATTAGAAGATAATTATTGAAAATCATTCTAGCATCAGTCTGAGTAGTCTCACCGATATAAAGTTCACCACTAAATGGGGATTTGAAGTGAGCTGTTTCACAAACACAAAAATAAAATAAAATTAGAAAGAATGTTCGAGACGGTCGTTCATATGACCATCCTTAAATATAAAGCATGCTTTCATGGAACAGTTCAGAACAATCTACGTAGTTCTGAACAGTAGCAAAAGAATATAGACCAAATACTATTTGTAAAATTTCTAGTAGAAGATGATTACACATTATCTTTAGATCAGAAAGATTTCTGTCGATTGTATCTTGCTCCGAAGATGTTCGATTACGGTTATGAATCTATTTGTTACTGACCTTGGACACCATATGATATCATTCATTAATTCTAAAGCATGTTGTAATGTTAATCTTTCATATCTTTGATATAACTGATCATCTTGAATAATTAATTTCATTTCATTTGGAAGTAATGCTTTTTGACATTGATTTTGTGGACAAAGAAGTTTTTCACCAAATCTTCCATTATCAAATGTTATTTTAACATAATTATTTAAACATGATTGACAATAAAAATGTCCACAACGATAAAGACGAATACAATCTATTCCTGAAATAATATCTGTACAGATTAAACATGTTTGAAGTTGATTTCGAAATTGTTTTTCTTTTTGTTCATTATTATAATTAATTAAATATTGATAAATTTGATTAATATTCTCATTTAAATATCCATTTAATGCTCGTGGATCATTGATTTGTTCGTCATCGAGTTTGGTATGAAGGATAAGTTCGTTACTGATTTGATTTTTAATCAATTCGATCCAATCATAAACACAAACTTCACCATTTATAAATGGATAATTATCAAGTTTTTGACAAAGATTCTCTAAAGATGATTTTGAAAAATAAAAACATGAAAGAATAAATGAAGGAGGATGGGAACTTGGATATTCATCATCATAATGAATAATAAGAGTAAATGGTGGTAAATAATCAATTATAGATCTTTTATTATTATATTTAATAACAAATGGTTGAAGTAGATCAAAATCAATTAAGATTTCATATTGATTATTGTCATGAAGAAAACGAAATTTCGTTTCAAATATGGATTGTAATGCTAAGATTTCATCGGCTTGTTTTTCCAGATTGGTCATTGATACTTTTTGATTAATCACAATGTATTTATATAGAAACTACTCAAACTTTAGCAGCATGTGACGATGTTTCATAAGCACATACTTTTTTTATGCAATTACAACATTGCATAAGAAAGTCGCAATATACCAATGAAAGAAAGAAAGAAAAAAAAAGTAGAGCACGAAAGAAACGGTGAGAATGGAAGTAAGGTGCCTGTCAATATATAAAAATGTATTTTGACAGGATGTTCTTCATAATTTCATCGTCCACATATCCCCTTCGTCAAAGTTTTCCTAAAAATTTCATCAAAGAATCTAAATTTTTTCCATCTAGAATTCTAACGATAAAGTAGAAGAAGATGAAGATTTCAACGAAGAAATAGGGTGGGTGTGGATGTCGGGTTTTGGTATCAGTACATAAAGAAATACGTGTACCCACACCTATCACAACAAAATTGATGTTACTTTTTTTGTAATTAAATTTTTCTTATTTGTCCTTCGAATCAATACCTCAGTAGCATATATTAACTGTTGAGAAAGAAAAAGAAACCTTATACACATCATAGAGAAGCGAAAAAATGTCGTATTTGCATCATTCAACTGTTTTTTTTTCTTCAAAATAAATTACCTTATCTATTCATCATATATAATTCAAGCAAATTGATGTATGCAACCGTTACTAATGAAAGATTGAAGTATAATGATAAATATTATTAACGTCAACATAATTATGCTAGGCACCTTGCAAATAAATTACTTTTTATATAAATCGTCCAATACAAAAATATAACGTAGCAAATATGAAAAACTTTGCGAAAATAGCGAATAACTTTGTTTATGAGTTAAAGTAATATGCAAACGAACATGTAAACGTATAACATATATGAAAATAGAACAAGTATCATTTCTTGTTTTTACTTTTATTTTATGTTTAGAATTCAGAAATTTTAAACGGACTATAAAATAGGAGTGAACGTAGATAAAGTTATCATCAGATTCCAGTATTTTCAATTATCAGGTTTTCTACAATACCATCTATAATTGCAAAAAATCATACTTTGGATTTTGACAAATCGGAGCATACCGTTGGATGAAACTCGTCGAGTTCTACACAGTACAAGAATATGACATTTGATACAAGATCATAAGCGTGTTTGAGATGGAAATACTATAGTCTGGTCATAATTTTATCTACTTCGTTAGCGAAAATATTCGACCAATTATTATCTGTGTCAAATCAAATGGATGTGCTCAAAATATTTTTCTCAAACATTAACCATTAAAATATTTCTTTTCTACGTCTATCAGTAGTGTATGTAATTATAAAATATTCTAGATCTTCATTTTACCTTATGATCTAGCGCAGATATATAGTTGGTAAGTTGTCCTAGTCGTAAACAAACTGTGAACTAACCATGTACGATATGACATAACCACTTATATTCACCGTTCAGGTATTTGTAGATGAATCGTGTTTGCAGTTTTCTTAACGTAAATTATACAAAGTATATTGTACTTTCTTAATTATAAAATCTGGTTTGCTTTGATAACATAGACACATAAATACAATAATTTTTAATTGTAGAGCACTATTTGGTACCATATACAGAAAACGAAACTTTCTTTCTACGAGATTTAAAAATGATTTTCAGAAAGAAATTTCGATGTAGAAGATTCCTCCTATATCTAGCATAAGACCATTCAGCTCATATATACTCTTTCGATATCTATTTCTATATACCGTTAGCTATATCCAGCACTTATTTTCATCAGCAGCTACAAGAAATTCGCTTGGGATTTATTAAGTTTTTTCATTACGTCCGTACACCTTTTTGAGATAAACTCTATACAATTCATCAACACATTCATGCATACTTGCAATTTAAATGCATTAAAATATCGTCACAATGAGTTAGCCCTATTAAACTCTTTATAAATAGATATATTGTGTCAAAAAATGAATAAATTCCAACAAAATAAATCCTATTATCCCCTTATCTATATGCTAGCATCCTTGCTCCAATGTCTAGTCTGTTAATTCTAGATCTATGTCCTTTAACCTGCGCGATGACGGGACAGTCAATTTACAAAAAGAGAATTGTACATTCCCATTATATTTTGATGCAATGAACTGGTTTGTATACTGATGGTAAAGATCACTTTCAACTTTTTATTCATATATTCAAAGCTCTCAAATGCTTCTACAAAGTAGTAATTTTGGATTCAATACGAAATAAAATACTTTTTCGAGTAATAAAGAATGATATCTAGGACTTTTTCTTATGTTCATTGGATTTCATTATATTGTTATGAGCTTTAAGCCATCCATGTTTATTTTTCTCGCTACATTATCATTTTCTTAACACTCTGAAAAATCCAACAAGATTGTTACATTTCTTTAAAATGACTTCTTCATTCCGTATCTAACACTTTGACGAAAAGAGAAACAGAGTAAACTGACAAGTTTTAAAGGTGTTTTTATAAACAAATAGCAGTCTTAACATCAATATGACTAGTTTGCTAGAAATATCCAACAGATGTTTATGAAGTAAAACCAATAGACCTGTATTAATTAAAGCTCACAATAATGAAATAAAATTCGAAAGTTCAGGAAAAAAAAATGTACATATCGTTCTTTGTAATTCGAAAAAGTACTTTATTATGTATTGAACCTAAAGATTGTTTCTTTATAGGAGTAATCGCGAGCTGCTTATTTATAAATAACCCATGTAAAAAAACAACAAAAGACGCTTAAAAATCAGACAATAATCTATCGTAATGGCACTATTTAAATCTGATTTTAATTAGATTATTAATCCGAAAATAATCAATTTTAATCTAATTTTGAGTCATCTTTTTTTTTTACATGGGAATCTGACATTTATATGCAATTTCCTATATTAACGCTTAGTTTCTTCATGTTTATCTAATCCTGTTAAATTACTTGCATGTTTTTCACTTGCCCATATCGCAACTCAAATAAATGATATAACCTTCAATGTTTGTTGTATAAGATGCATCGTCCAATACTCTATAAAGTCTGATGAACAAAATCTCTTTGAGTAATTTAGAAATTGTTGATACATAACAGAAAGCGAAGTTCTGTGTGATGTTTCGATTTCACACCACAAGAATGGGAAGAAAGCTTGGAGAACTGCGCGTTATTTCGCATATACAATGAGTGTGAGTGTGAATTCGAAGGTATGTCCGAAGAGAGAAGATTCACATCGATCAACATCCATACTAACATAATTTATAGTACCAAAAAATCAAGTCTTTCATTTTGAGAAATCGACTACAGATTTGGATTTCTCGAACCTGAAAC